TAGTCAACTATATTCTCCAAGGAAAGATGGTGCAGTACTGGTCAGTATTAAGTTATTGGAACAGCACTACTTGTTCGTCGCTTATGTATACTCCAGTTCCCTACTTCAAACCACCGTTTCCATCTGGAATGGCAAAGCAAGCTGGGGTTAGCGAAACTGAGGCATATGGGGCACCGCCGCCACACTTATCTCTGTCTAACCGGATGGGTTTACTGTGCCATAGTTCGACATGCTTTACACGATGCTTGCGAGACCTGGTTAGTACGTGTTCAGGGCTCTCAAAGTCTTCCCGAGTTCAATCACCACTATCTCCGAGATATTGTCTATTCTGGTCGCAATACTGTGTAGTTTATTGGTGATCAAAGACGAAGTCCGATGACATGTTTTCGATGCAGAAGGTCGTTCTCTCCAACAAAAGCGATTGCGTCTACACGGCTTCCAGTGTCTTGGATACACACTTTATCTGCTTTCCAATCGTCTTTCGCACAGATTATTAGTTGTGAGATCTTGAATTGGCTGCGAAGAGTATCGTGATGGGTAGTCCCCGACTCGTTTGGATCTTGCCTACTGTCTGACCCCGAGTGAGTATGGCTGTTGTTGGTTGAAAACTCCAAGGCGTATCAGACAGCATCAAAACTAACGGCTTGAATCAATTGACAAAGTCCAAAATCTAGTATTTGTGTCCTGAGTGGCCCTCGATTACTGAACTGAAGTGTATGCAATCAAATTATATTTTTAGTCCTAAATATGCAGTGTTATTCAATCCAGTATGTGAATCAATCATTTTAATCTCAATTTTTCCACTCGAAATAGCTTAGAAATGCCTCAGAATTCATTTCAACCGATGAGCGAAGGTCATTTGTTGATTTAAGCTTAACTTATTTAAATCGCATACCTAATGAAATATGCATATATAACCTGAATGGTAACTATAATTGAAGCCAGAAGGAGAATAATGTATAACATCAGTTCAAGATATGTATCTCAATTCACCCTTTGTTTCAATACTCTCTGATGATTGTAACTGCAGGCCGCCGTGGAACGATTGCTATCTCGTGATAGTTTCTGCGCCGCTGAAATCGAAATTTTCCGCAGTCTTTGCGCTTGGTTCCGAGCTGCCCAGGAAGCTGAGACTCGCCAACCACCCGGACAGTTGACCAACGCCACGGCCTCAATTGAACCATTGGTATTACGTGGTGAAGTTCTTGGTGATTCGCGCTCCGTATCCACACCAACGAAACCGGAACAATCCACCGGTGGTCACGTGGAAGTAGCGGAGTTAAGGGAGGATTCAGGTACGTTTCCGCTGCGATTAGAACCGTTTTTTTAAAACTTATTGGATAACCGTGCTCTTGTCGTATGTTTCGATTCTTATTCAGTAATCCATTTCAGATGATGGATCTATTATTATTATTATTATTATTGTTATTAGATATTGCGACCTTATTGGGTTATGAGTTGTCGTTAGTTTCAACGATTCAACTGTCTTGGTCGCGATGCTCTTTTGAACATTCAGTCGGTGTATTATATGACTACTTCCCACTCCAGATTCCAGGAGAAGTGTTGGGGAAAATAGTTCCGACTTACTCCCTCCGAAGCCCCCTGCTATCGTCGAAACTGAGTTCACATGGGGTCGTGATGGAATTGAAGCACGTCAGCAGCGAATGATGCGACGCTGTGTCCGATTTGAGCTGATGACACTTACCGAGCTGCTGACAGAAGTTCGCGCATCCAAACTAGTCAGCCCAGATGACTTGTTGGACGCAATCAGCCGCCAAGCCAAAAGTTCGGATGCATTACCTCATCGCGGTTGGATGTGTAAGTCATACGTACATTGTCTTTTGCGTGTCCTTCGAATACACACAGTGGACCCACAAGGGTTATCCGTGATCTTTGGTAATAGGCAGCTCTGCTGTCGTCCGTTTCAATGCCACGCCTAACCTATCAGGGACTTATGTGGTTCATCACTCCAAGTCCCGGGGCTTAGGTTGCCGGTTTCCACCATTAAACAGCAGGTCTTCGTGACTATTGGGTTCGACCCGTCTGCTGTTCATCACACTTAGGTGTGAAATAAAAAATCTGTTTCCATTTACCTCCCATGTATAACAAATACCATTGGCTTTTTCACACTCTATAGTCGAAGGTGGGTGTCCTGGGATGTGTCTGGTCATCCTTCTGTTGCACCTCGGTCCCATACAACCACACGCCTCCAATAGCCTCTGCTGAGGAAGCCATACTAACTGCTTTCCCATGGCGATGTTTCCACACTGAAGCGAGCAGACGAAAAAGCCAACATTAAGGGCTATAATCGGATAGATCAGGCACTGACAATTCACCCTAGGGAAGCGGGCTAAGAACCCTTATTCCAAACTAACCGAGAAAAAACGTATGAACAACTTCCGCCTACACCTTCCTGGTTGTGGCAGTGGTCACCGGGTCGATTGGGTATACTCTGGATGTGAATTCCACGGGAGAATTCACCTGCTTTGGCCTGAGCAACCTGGCAGTATCCCACCCAATTACAGGTCATAGACGGTTTTCCTTTTTGCCAAGATTATTTTACCATCATTTGTTTGACAGCCTGTGCTCAAATGTAATATATATATATATATATATATATANCCTCGATTGGTGATGAAACGTTTGCAATACAATTGCCAAGCTCGGCGAACAACTGAACATCATATATATATATATATATATATATATATATATATATGTTACACTGCCTGTTCGCCGAGCTTGGCAATTTGTTTGCAAATGCTTCATCACCAGCCGAGGTGACATCATAAATATAATCCAAGCTGTTTTCAGAATCTTTCAATAAATAGCTGTCCCATTGTAGTCCATTATTTGTTCTATTCTATCTTACTCGGATTCATTATGCTTATAGCGGTATATGTTCAGCTATTTCTCCCCTTCAAGTATGTACTGTCAGTTTTGTGTTTCAGTGGCTGTTTACAAAACAATAGATGAAAGCAAGAGGTTGGGCTGGAGCAAATGTTTCTCGGACATTCAGATCGCTGTAAAAATTCTGTTTTTCATCAGCTGGGATGATATTCGTTTTAGGTACACAGCACGAAATCCTTGGTGAATACTAGAGTCCTTCGAACGCGCACGTGTCATAAAATAACATCAAACACTTATTCTTTTGCTTCCGACTGTATCCGTCTGTTATTTGCTTCAGTACCGGGTGTAAATCTGGCCTCACCACGTTTCGCCTGTTCCCTCGTTTCCGGAGAGGAAGGGGGCTATCCGTATTTCTTTGTGGATGACGTGGAAGATGAGAACGGCACAAAGGGTCTGGGTGAAATCCAGTTCAGTTTGAGCGCGTTGGATCTCACGACCGCATTAGCCAACGGAACTGTGGCGGTTCATCCAAGTAACGCGCCGGTCCAGATCGAGCAAGGAGATGAGAACGGGGTGGAGGAGGATGAGGAGGACGAAGAGGATGAAGAAGACGAGATCGAGTTAGACCTAATAGCTGGCGATCAGCCACCCGTAACGACACACTGGCAACATGCAGAGGATGCGAACGAGCTATCAACCCGTATTGGTAGGTTCGGATGACTATTGAATTCAACTCATAGAATAAAAATCCTCTGTTTTGTTATGTGTTTTCGCTTAGGTGCTTCAAAACATAAGATAACTCCGAGCGAAAACTTGTTGAATGGGGAATAATCGTTTTCGATTTTCCTAATCATACCCTTACAAGTAATATATTAATCATCGTATGAATACCCTCTGCCGCTGCAATCAGGGGAACCCGTTGCATGGAATATCGCGCCCAATCAGTCGTAGGTGGCTCGTGTTTTTGGATGCTAGTCATAACTATAGCTAGGGGTAGTTTTTTTGTGTGTACACGGAAACGACCGGTTCAGACACTTCAGCTATCTGGATCTAGTGGTGTGAGCAGTTCGGCGGAGCATGACGCATCACTTAACTTCCCCCCCACCCCCACCCCGGGGTGGGGGGGGGGGGGAANGGGAGAAAGACAATGCCAGCTAACAGTAGGTTAACCGTTTTTACTCGCACACACTTCGCCTCTCCCTTACACAGAGACACAAATTTATGACATTCATTCCAAGGAATCATCAAAAGTTTGCAAAAAGATTTGTCCCATTTATGAATGGTAAGCGTAGGATCACAAGCACTGAATATAGGCACGGCGTCCTCTGCTACTATGTGTTGCAGGATTTAGGTCACCAGTTACCATGGTCGAATAGTAAACTCTTATGTTTAGAATGCGTCTCCATTTGCTGTTTGTCACACGAGGGGCCGCAATGAATAATTAACTGTTGTTTGAAGAGAATGTTCAAAGTTGATCGGTCTACTCACTATCGCCCATCGCAAACCACCACCACCAGCAACAACAACAAAAATCGGGCATGAACCGTGAAATGTTGCTTTACTGACTGAGTGATATGGCTGGACTTCGCAAACAGTGACGCTCGTGCATCTACTCATTATTATTATTCTTAAATGAATTCGCTGTATTCTTCACTTTCACTCTACTCTCAACATTTCAATCTTCCCTCTGTCCTTTTATCCAAATGGGCGACCAAAAGACGCAACCGAAACCGGAACATGAAAATGCATGGTTAATGGTTGTTAACACTGAAACTTTACTGGCTTCCCTATTCAAACCGACATATTTTTAGGCAATCAATATGACTGGCTGCGTTATCCTGCTGGAAAACGAATACGATGTAAACATTTCATGCCATTGGTAATACAGGATGTGACTGCAATAAACCAATATACGTCTATTGATCTCAAGTCCCACGCAGTAAAGCGAGTCTGATCGAACCGTTGATGGGGAAGACGCCACTGCACTGTTGATGAATTTCTAGCTTTTATCCGCGTACCGCTTTCCGCAGATCATACCGGTACTAATTCCAGTTCTATCTAAGTCAATTTTTTTCATCGCCGAAATAGAAAAACATTACGTTATTTTTTCCATGTTATTTGAGTTTCGGCTTGCTTGCGAATGTCTTTAGAGCTATGCATCTCATCTTGATTTTTCATTCAGGCGACTTTGAATATCTGACAAGTCAGAAGCACGGATGGAGAAAAAGCGGCAAATCCCGACCGTTCGGGATCAAGGCAGAGATAGATGGTGTCTGCAACGTCAACTCACGAACAACCTCAAGAAGGATCGTGAGAATTGGTGGGTGACGATATCTGATCAAAGACTGTTTCAGCTGATACACAACACGGGAGGTCGGCGAATCACAGTTAGTGAGACAATCTGCGACAAAAGCGGACAAGCTCTACATAATAGAGAACAACGGCTTGACCGGTGGGCGGAGTACTTTAACGAGCAGTTTAGCTGGCCAGGTGCTAAACGGACTGTATCGTCTGTTGTAGCTGAGGCTCCGTGGGCAGTGTCATCTGAACCTCCTACTGCAGCGGAAGGACTAAACAGGCTTCCTCTCGCTCTTTTCAAGATGGGGGCGATAACCTCGTAGACTCCATTAATGATGTAATACGGAACATCTGGTCACAACAGCGCAGTTCATCATCCTGGAGCGAATCACTGAAAGTTTCCATTTTCAAGAAAGGATATCACAACGACTGCGCAACCCACTGTGGAATATGTTTGATTCAAATCGTCACCAAGTTATTAGCCTCCGTCATACTTCGACTTCTGACGCCCTTAAAGGAGACAAATATCCGCGAGTAGTAAGCCAGATTCCGACCAGTTCGCGGTTGCATCGATCAAATCTTCACTCTGCGTCAAGCCCTCGAATTGCATCACACATCATCGGCCGAAATTCGCAGTATTCCTTGACCTAAAAGGAGCCATCGACTCGGTTGATTGCGAATCCCTTAAGGGTTAGCTCCTTCGCAAAGAAATGCCACAGAAGCATGTGAACATACAGAATTCACTCTAATCACATACTTCTGGTAGCGTGAAGGTCTACAGTGAGCTGAGTACGACGTTTGTAGCTAGCAGCGATGTTCGACAAGGGTGCCCTATTTCGCCATTCCTGTTCAATTTCGTCGCAGACGAAATACTGGTCCAAAATGTTGGTATTGAATGGGAAGCTGGAGAAAAGCTGTGCGATTCAAAGTACGCCGATGATATCGTCTATCTGTGCGAATGTATGGAGGATACGTAAAGAGCAGTTAGAAGATTAGCAAGTTCTGTTGCGGTAAGAAATTAGCTGAAGTTGTCTGATTCTCGTAGTTGGGTAGCTGCGTGACCAACGACAGTAGCACATCAAAGGAGGTAATCGCCCGCATTTCCAAGGTACGAGCAGCGTACGTAGGACTTAAACAACTGTGGCAACGATGTGAGGTTTCATTGAAGTTGAAAAGTCGCGTATACTGCGCCACTGTACGATCAGTTCTGCTGTACGGTTGAGACCTTGAACTTACGGGTAGAAGACATCCGTCATTTAGCAGTGTTCGACAGTCGATGCTTACGTAGTCTGGCCCAGGTTGGATGGAGTGAGCGAGTTAGTAACTTAGAAGTAAGTCGTCGGGTGTTTGGGAATACATCAAACAGGAACTCGCTATCTCATCGAATCCAGCTCAGTAGGCTCCGTTGGTTAGGACACGTTTAGTGTATGTCCGACGGTCGCCTAACGCAGCGCGCTTTGTTTGCAGTGGCTGTTGCAGACTGGAGAAAGCCATGTGGAGTTCAGTAGATGACGTTGAGATGAAATATAAAGAAATACACAAAGCGATTAGGTAGAGTAGGTGTCTGTCGTCTTCCGGGTTGGGGTCCAAAAGACTCCTTAAGCGCATGTTTGGAGCCACTGAAGGTCATGGCAGCAAACCGACAGCAGTGTCGATCTTGTCACTTCTTATCAGACTAGAATGCTTGAATTAGTATGTATGCACACTGTTGACCATATAGGTTCGCTTTCTTTTCCCATCCCTAAAAATAGGCTCAATCCCTGTCCACCTTACACATTCTCGCTCATCTTGTATGCAGTGAAGTTCGCTTCACGGTACTAAGGTGTACAATGGTGATGATGATGATGATTCAGGAGACCGTTTCGAATGTTGGCTACATTTTTCGCATCGAGACATCCAACTTAGACATCTTTGTTATTGCCTACTTAGGACTCACACAGTTAGTGGAAATATGTGATAACTTGTGTCTGTCTGCTCTGTGAGAACTTTTTCCGGTGTCCAATCCGTTGTTGCTTCGTTTATGATTGTTTCCGCTCCCAGTATCTTTAACTTCATTGGTTTTGGGCCTGCTACGTCGTGTGACTTTTTATATTTAACTATCACATTTGATTTTGCAAAACACATCTACCCTTGATGTCTTGATAACAGTTAGCTTATTTCAGTTGATGATGACACATATTGCCTCTCTTTTATCGTCTTTGTTTCTGCTACGCATTAGGAAACCAACCAGTCGTGGAGAACGCGAGAGAATCACAAGGTCTTCGTCGCCTTTCGGGTAGATTATCTATGGTCAATCGAAACCAGGCCTCCTTCTATGCACAATCACTTCCTAATGCGGACTGGTATTCAATGTTACCTCCCGAATCTCGTGTGACTGACCATCATCAGTGCAGCGCTCATGCCTGTGCAGCACATCTGCGCCGAAGCACTCGGTCATTCGTCACCCCA